TCTCTCTCTCTCTCTCTCTCTCTCTCTCTCTCTCTCTCTCTCTCTCTCTCTCTCTCTCTCTCTCTCTCTCTCTCTCTCTCTCTCTTGGTGTCTCTGTCTCTGTCTCTGTCTCTGTCTCTGTGTGTGTGTGTGTGTGCGGTGGATTAGAGACCCCGTCTACAGGAAAACAAAAAACAAACCGACAAAAAGAAACAAAAACACACAACACAAAGAGAAACGGACAACCACATCACACGGGCCAACGCAACTCATGCCCTTTGCATCCAACGACCCACAAACGATGTTTACATCACCCACGATTCAGAGCACAGACGCACGACTCCCATCTGTCCATCCGAAGTCCATCCGCCAACGACGTCCGCCGGATGTAAAAGAAAGCGTACATCGGACGGCCAACCACGCCAGTTGAGGTCAAACAGACGGCCGATAAGCGGCCGATAACCAAAAAAAAAAAAGATTCTCCACCGAAAGTTCAAATTCCGTACCTGGAAAGTTCTTGCGCAAGTATTTCCCAAAAGGAATGTTCACTCCCGGATAATCCATCAGTACCTGCGAACCAATCAATCAAATTGAATCAATCAATCCACTGACAATTTTTTATTTTATTATTTTTTGAGTAATTTACATTGTTTCTTTCCTTTGCTGTGTGCAAGGCGTCAAGGGGTTAACCCCTAGCATTGTTGAAGTCTATCTGGCCAGTCCTTGGGCCTTGAGCTCGTGATCTGTTTATCGACAGCTACTATGGCATACCATTCAGCCACACAAGGCCAAGATATCAATCTTTTTGGGCAATTTACCAATTACTTCGATTAGGTGAGCAGGAGAGCATTCTGCACGTCGTGGACATGTCAGCTTCTGAGGGCAAAAGCCGCGTCAGCCGAGACAAGGGCCGATGAAGGAGAAGGGCACGATCTTTTCGGAGGAACCAGAAGGAACCACCTGACTCAAATGAAAGGATGGGGTGAGAGTACGGACAAAGTGTCCTCCATCAAGGGAGGCTAGTTGGCAAATCAAAGAGAAAGGAGGGAAGGGGGAATTTCGTCGGAGGAAAGAGCAGTGTGGGTGGTGACTTCACAAATTGAGGGTCAGGTAGATGGGCTGGCTTGGGTGTGAAGCGCTAGGACAGGAGTACAATTCTCTCTCTCTCTCTCTCTCTCTCTCTCTCTCTCTCTCTCTCTCTCTCTCTCTCTCTCTCTCTCTCTCTCTCTCTCTCTNTCTCTCTCTCTCTCTCTCTCTCTCTCTCTCTCTCTCTCTCTCTCTCTCTCTCTGAGTCTGTAGAAGGGATATAGTGAAAAGAAAGATTATGAGCAAAGGAAGAAGAAACGAAAGTAAGGATTGTGGAACAAAGACGAGTGTGTAGGGAAGGATAAGAGAAGAGACAGGGGTCTCTCTCTCTCTCTCTCTCTCTCTCTCTCTCTCTCTCTCTCTCTCTCTCTCTCCCCTTGACGACAGAGACGGCACTGATGGTAGGGATGACATGGATGATGGCATGGAACACATAGGTTGCTTTCTATTTGAGCGCATGGTATATTCGGGCACAAGCATATGCGTTCTATTTTTTGAATCATCGATCTTTTTTTTTTTTTTCTGAAAACTCGCATACAACACATATGCATTATGTTCAGGGGGGAAGATGGTACCTGAGCATTCTCGTAGCAAAACAGAACTCTTGTCACGACGGCTCACATTAACCATCCTCAGGCTCACCCAAAAAAAAAAAAAAAAAAAAACTCCCTACAAATGCCATGTCAGTGCAGGTCAGGAGGAAGCAACAACGGACATCACAGAAGACCATGCTTTTGTCATAACATCCCTGGCCCGGCAAATGGATAAATGATGTCCGGAAACGAGGGTGCATGCAGTTGGGGAAGGAAGGGCATCCCCTCTCCACACATGGCTGCTGTCATCATATTCACTCAAACAGAACTGCCCCGGTAAACCGTGGGCAGAGAAGGAAAAGAGGACAACAAACGAGGGGCTGTCACAGACTATTTCGTCAGAGTTTCACCGACTTGTCAGGAGGCTGAACTCTGCTACATATTTTCCGATGACCTAGAGTGGGAGTGCTGCTCGGTAGGGCATGTATGTGCAGTAGGTTAAGAAGCAATTACCACCACATCCGGCGGGGATTTCTCGATGATCTTCCGCACCGACCACTGCAACCTCAAGCTCGGTATCACGTGCGGCAGAGCCTCCATTAGGCCAATAGAACTTATTCCAGAGTTGTCCCCTAATCATCAACCATCATCATCCCAAATGCCACCACCACCACCATCATCATCATCATCATCATCATCATCATTATCATCATCATCATCATCATCATCATCATCATCATTGTCGTCATTGTCGTCGTAATCATCATTCACATCAGGATCAGGAGGAACAACAACAAGAAAAATGACAGCATCACCATCGGCTTCCTCAGCATACAAATCATCTCATCGTAATTGCCTCAGCAATGATTGTCATCGGGGTCAACGTTGCTTACTAGCATCATCATCATCATCATCATCATCATCATCATCATCATCATCATCATCAATCGCCACCATAGCCAAACTCATGATTGCCACTATTGCCATCATTGCTGTTGTCATTGCCATTCTCATTGTTCTTATCATGATTATCCTTATCATTTGATTATTATCATCATCATCCACAGCACTCATATATAAATAATAAGTATACAAGGACTTTTTTCCCTAGAGTTATTTCCAGTTCAGCCACTAAAATGTCCATGTCTACACATGATCACTTTCACACTGAGAAGGTAAAAAGTACTAAACACTATTCTGCAGGAAAAAAATTGAAAAAAATAAAATAATAATAATAAATTTAATTACAATAATCGAATGCAGATCAGCAGCCAAAAGATAGATCACATCAACAGTTCAAAAGCACCAGACTGTTGACGACGTCTGCACATCGTCACTTTCACACCAAGTAGGTAATCAATACCGAACATCCATGGCCAAAGATTGCGCACCTTTTTTTTTTAACCCATCAGTCCACTTCCCAGCTGCTCTGTTCTGATGCGACAGTTAACCCAACCACATCACATAGGGGGGTGCGGGGAAGTGGGGGGGGAAATAACGTCGGGCTACCAGGCGGAAAAGGTTGGTGGTGCCATACATCATCACAAAAATGTCAGAGCGCAAACGCAAAAAAAACAAGAAAAAATCAATTCATTTTTTATCTTCTTACTTACAACTCCCCCTGTTGAAAATCTCTTGCGTACAAGGCCGCCCACGTGGATGTAGGTTGAGCGGCAGCTGCTCCCACCACAGTGTGTCATATCGACCCACTTGCACACAGCCAAAAGGCGAAGAGGCAAAGAAAGAGGAAGGGAACAGCCAATATAACAAAACAGGGGGAACAAACATAAACAAATCCTAGATGACAATTCCCACATGCAAGCACCGCCCCCTCCCCTTCCGTCACAGGCCAAACGACGGGACAAGCAAGACCATCCAGGATATCAAAACACCCTTGCCTGTTTTGTCGGAGTTTCACCGACTTACTCATCAGGAGGTGGTGGGACCCTCAACAGTCTCCAGAATCCCCCAACTGACTGATTACACTGTAAGTGATAATCCACCTTAACCCCGGTTGTGGCTAAGCAGCAACGACTGCCCGACAACAAATGATACCTTGAGGTGGGCACCAACCACTGCCCTCAATATATATACTACCGGGCAGTTCTATTTGACGATATACATATATATATATATATTGTCACAGAACTATTGACTAAGAGCATGAGCATGTGAAGTAGAAGAAGAAATAAGATGAGCAAAGAAAAGAAAAATGAAAGGACAGACAGGCAAAGAGACAGACAAACCAGAATGACACTTTGTTTCACAGTATTATTATTTCTTTCAGTGTTTTACAAAAAATATTTACACTGAATCAAAGGATAAAAATCAAAAACAAAGACACATTGAAATCATTCAGTTTCTCAGTCTTCTTAACGCCTCCTCCACTGTGTGCCTCTAACGTACAAGGCTCGCCACGTTGATGTATGCCATAACAGCCCACTATATATAGGAATCAATCAGCAGAAATCAGAGAGGCGTGAGTGAATGGTACACACATGTAACTGTTAATGAACGGATCGTGAGTTCAAATCCTGACCAAATACGACAGGTACAATAGTGTAAGGAGCTACCCCATTATGGAGAACAAAAAGAGAGAGACGGGGGAGAGAGGGAGAGAGAGAGAGAGAGAGATGAAGAGCTCACCAATGAGAATGGCACCTGCTGATTCAACATGTTTCCCTCCCAATGCAGAAATCTCGACCTCCACACCGAGACTCTCGCTGAGAGTGCGCAGTTGCCTCACAAGCTGCGCTGCATGTTTATCGCCCATCACATCTCCAGTGCTTACCTGGCAAGGCAAAATCAAATAAAGACCAACTGGCCTAGCGCTGAGTTGGTACACACCCTGAACTGAACTGTTGAAATACAGACCTGAGTTCGCACTTCACAGGAAGCAAATTCTGAAATACCTAGATATTTGGCCGTTGCCCTTTTTTAAAAAAAAAAAATCATGTTGCCAAAAGTAAACTGTAGAGGGAGGAAGATTTCCAAAACAGTTAAATTTTCAAGATGGTAAATATAAAAGAACAAAGGGTAAATTCAAGAAAGAGAGTAAATTTCAAGAAAGAGGGTAAATTCCAAGAAAGACTACAAAATCAGGAACGAAGGTAGAATTTCAAGAAGAAGGTCAATTTCAAGGAAGAACGTAAATGTAATGTTAAATTTAAAAGAAGGGAAATTTCAACAAGGTAAATTAGCCGATGCAGACCCCAGGGCTCGATCCCTAGTCCTCACCTTACATGTGTATAGTACCTGTGTCGACCCCTAGAGTTGAACCCTTGACCTGTGTATTGTAACAGTTGGTAGACTGTCGTAGGGTCTGTAGGCAGTAGGGGTTCGATCTGTGGACCTGTTGGGTAGGAGTCCTAGCAGGGTCTAGAAGTCGTAGCTGTAGTTCTCCCGAAAGGTCAAGGTCGTAGCTGCTACAGTCCCGAAAGGTCAAGGACGTAGCTGCTACAGTATCGAAAGGCCAAGTCTACGGCCTTCGGGAAGGTCCAGGTAGTGGCCTTTCGAAGTTGCCCATGTTTAGGCTGAGGCAAGTGGACAAGTGGTGGAGTCTACCCGTGCTGAGTCAGCAGTCCCAGTCCCAGTCAGTCCTAGTCCAGTCAAGCAAGTACCGCATGGGACTGTGTACACTACGAGCATGGGAAAGGGCCAGACCAACGAGCTGCAGAAGTATAAATCAAAAGGCAGCGCCCAGCCAGTCATTCATTTCTGCGTGAGCCATGCGGAAGCGCTGCCATAGCGACTTGTGCGAGGTGGTCTGCAGTGAGCCCGAGGACGAGGTGGGCGAGAGAGAAGAAGCTTAGCCATAGCAATAGGGTAGTAGCGGCCATAGCCGCCATAGCTGTAGATAGCGTGCAGTGTGAGTGTGTGTGTGTGTGTGTATACAGAGTATCGCGTGTGGGATATCCAGGGTGATCCTGCGAACAGAGAGTTGTGTGGGCGCTGAGTCGCCATAGCCATTGAAGTGAACTTGTACCTGAACTGTGTTCTTGACTACCATATCTCTGAGTTTTGAGTGGGCGATTGTCGCCAGTTTGTTGCGCACCTGTTTGCATACATGTGAAGTGTGAATGAGAGCGAGTCTGATTGCAATTTTAAGAAAAACGGTATATACTACATAGTACTATATACTATATTTCAAGAAAGGACATAAATTTCAAGAAAGCTGGGCTACCAGCCGGGCCGCCCGAATCTTCTTGTTTGACCGGGCAGCCTGGCCGTGCAAGGACCACAGAAGGGCCAAAAAAAAAAAAAAAAAAAAAAAAAAACCGAAAAAAAAAACTATGTGATGCAGAAAAACAAGTTTAAGTTACTGAAGAACGTTTGCCTCAGAGTCACATCGAAATTCTTTACCAAATTTAAAATAAATTAAAATTTATAATATATATAATATATACAAGCAGGTGCAGCCAGCGCAGCTTCCGCCCGCGAACATCATGAGGAAGCAGGCGCAATGAAGAATCGCACATGTTTGTCTGTGTGAAGTTAATATTTAACATTGTTTGGTCCTATCTTACATTTCTTTCACTGTCTTTTTTTTTTTTTTTTTTTTTTTCCGGTTTCTAGCGTTTGCACATCACGATCATCGTCGTTCTCGGATATCACCAACATCACCATCCCATCTGAAAAAAAACAAACAACACCACAGCCGTTTCATTGCGAGAAAACCGCGGAGAAAGGCATTAGACAAAATCAATTCTATAGATCAAACGAAGAACACTTCATCTAACGTGACCGGTAACAGAGCCCGCGGAGAAAAGGGTCACGCGAAGTAATTCCATTCAGGGGATATGAGAGACGCGAGTAGCTCAGAGCAGAGAACAATACAGAGAAACAAACAGCAGAGGTGCACAGGTCAGAGAAGAAAGCGTTTACTGTAGACACAGTGTAGACCAGACGTGGTGATGGAGAGGAAACCATGAGCGATGATGGCCCAGGAGGACACACGGGCACCGGCATCGGGGCGTCAAATTTTTCGATTTATTTCCACGACGCCCAGCGCCCAGCACAGTTCACGACAGCAACATGTTGCGAGTATCAGAAAAGAGCCGTGGGAAACAGGTGCATGCAATTCAGCCCCGACGGAAAAGACATCGCAATAGAATGACGCTTAACAGTAGAATAGTCCAGGAACAGAAAGGACCTCTGTCAAAGACAGCATCATTTTTTTTTTTTTCGAAAACGGGACGTAACATGGCAATCTGGGAAAAGTGTGCCCAGCATTACAGAAAGTGGGCCCGCGAACACCGTCAGGAAGCAACCCCAATGAAGAATCTCACTTCGCTCTTTCTGTCTCTCACTCTACGCTTTCTTTGTTAGTGTATGGCTGGCACTTTATGTATCACCGTTTTAGCTCTTCGCGTCTTCTGTCTTTCTAAGTGTTTGTGGAAAGCAGAATAGTAAACAGCAATGGTCACAAACAGTCAGGAAGCAACCCCAATGAAGAATCTCACTTCCTTCTTTCTGTCTCTGACCGTGATGTTTGACATTGTTTGTTGCTATCTTAGCTTTCTTTCACTGTTT